TATTTTATTTATGCAATATTCAATAAAGTTTATATTCTTAATACTAATAACTACTTTATATAGTTAAAACACCTTCTTCACAATATAATCGACCCTCACGCATTAAGTATCCAAAACTCAAAACTATCAAGACCTCGTAATTATGGCGACTAGAACGATAAGTTCAACTTGCCGCATCCAAGAAACGTGTCAAGTTAGACATTCTCAGATCAAGACGATAATTATGAAACGGATTTTGAACATAGTGTTGATGATCAGACACAAATGGATCAAATTGATGATGAAGTAGATGTAACAGACTCTGGAAAAAACATACAACTTTCGAACGACGAACGACGATTATTGATTGATGTCGAAGAGGAATATTAAAGAGGTGAATCATCTGCGCATGGCAAAATTCGCAGAGCCATCTTGCAGGACGAACCTCACCTTTTACAAAGACGAGAAGAAATTGACGAATTTGAAGAAGATCTCAAATATGATAGTTATCTAGAATAGTTCTATTTTTATATATATATTATATTTCATTAACATTTATCAACATTTTTTTAGTATTTTATCAGTATTTTATCAACATTTTTTAGTATTTTATTAGCATTAAATATAACTATAATTCGTGAAATGATTTTAAATCGAAACTTTGCCTATTTTTGATCAATTTATATCACTTATAATAACCGAAATTTCATTGATACTTTGTTTTTAAATAGTCGAACCTTTATTTTTGTAATAACCGAAATTTCATTGATACTTTGCTTTTAAATAGTCGAACCTTTATTTTTTTAATAACTGAAATTTCATCGATACTTTGCTTTTAAATAGTCGAACCTTTATTTTTTTAATGGTTGAATTTTGTTTGAACATGTGACGATTTATGTAATCTGTTTGTTGTACGAGCGGCAGACGATTTACATCATTCGTCACATGTAACTTTCGGTATAATTTCGCCTAGCTTTAGACCATAATTCAGCCTAAGACCGGACAACCGAATTCTGGCCGAAATGGACTATTTCAACCGGTGTATTATAGTCACTAATTGCTAATATTATAATTTCTAACCTACTAGGTTAGAAATTTAAAATAGTTCAGAATTGCAGAGATCTGCGAAATTTACAGATCTCCGCATTTTTTATGTCAAATCTAATAAAGTTCTGCAGTGTATTGCAAATGCAATTTGCCAAAGATCTTTTTATAGAAATCTGCGATAATTTTCAAAATTGCTGATTTGTTAAGATCTTTGAGCAAAATCTTTGGAGATTTTATTTTTAATTTCGATAAACTTCTGATAAACTATTTTGATAAACTTCACAAGTTCACATGCCTTTTTAACAAGTTTTTTTTTTTGTTTTTTTTTTTCGAAGTTTTTTTTTAGTTTTTTTTTTCAAAATTTTTTTCTTCATTTTAAAACATATGTTTATTTAATAAAAAACAATTTTCATTATCAAACCGTAGTACAATATGTACTGCTTCGCTGATAGATTCAATTGAAATAGAATTATACTCTTCAGTATAATAAAGTTGCGAATAATCATAAAGGTCAGATTCTATTAAATGAATATCATACTAACGAATAAAAGCAAGTTTGTATAGCTCTACTAACGATCCTCAGAAAAATTTAAATATCAATAATACCTTTTGAAGAAATAATCTGTTAAAGGATAAAAGCAAAAAAAAAAACTTTATTAATCTTAGATAATGTTGCTTACTTTTCCATATCAAGCTCCTTTATCCGAATTGTATTGTACTTGATCTTCTGCAGGAGTTATCGCAACATTACTGAATCACTCTTTGCCTTGAAATTCTTTTATTATCCTTAAGATTTTGCCATTCTCTATATGGACTGAATCAAAGATTTTAATGTAAAAGTTATCACTTACATCTTCTACTGATGTGTTATCCAAAAAGATGTCTAACGTTATAATTAACTATGATAACCCCTCAATGAAATTTAAATGTGTTGAAGTTTTAGAATTTTTTAAAGATATTATTTTTTTATCAATACTATCCAGTGACAATTCCCAAAGAACTTTTCCAAATCCTTCAGTTTTACGATGGACAGCTTTTCTCTTAATCGGGTTTAATTCTTTACGTTTTATCTGTAAAGATTATTAAAAATGTAAGTATATGTTTATAATTATTTTGTTTATTGAAATTTATTAGAATTTTTAACTAACATTGTTCAATATTTGCTGCCGAATGTTATCTTTTCTATTTGATAAATGATAAGGGTTTTTAACATAATACTTATGAAGAGTTTCATAAGTTTCTGTTGATAAACCATTCAATGCTCTATATTTACGAATTGCAGAGACTAAGAAAAATTATGGTGAGGCATAGGATTATTATAATTCGTGATTTTAGGATTAAAATTCACCTGCATGGTACCTCCAGCTATGTAGTTTAGGAAATCTACATTCTGTTGTAGACAATGAAGAGAATAATCTTTTGAATTCGGTAGACCAATGAATAATTGCTTCCTGTTATATTTAGTAAAATTTAATAATATTTTGAATTTTATTAACTTCAATAATAATTACCTTAAAATTCTTTAAATCGTTTTCAGTATATGATTCTTGCTTACTTATTATATACATTTTACTAAACTTTGCATAAAGTTCGCAAAGCTCGCTACAGGTTATTCCATTCCATTCATTGAAGATTTCATCTAATGCAAAAATTGCAACCTTCATTATATGGCAATAATCCGCAGCAGTCATTAATTTCAATTGACCTAATTTACTTAACAGCTTAAGGCCAGGAAAGCGGGAAATTTGACGAAGACGTTGATCGAAAGTTTTTTGTAATTCTGTTTCTTCGACTTTTTTTAGAATCTCTTGTGTGAATTCTAACTGATACTTGAAGAGTCCAAGATCGATATGATGCATACGATCAGAAACACAAGCTTCATATATATTTAGATTTCTATAAATTTTCAATTAGTTAGCTAATTTATATCTATCTGTAATTATTTTTAAACATAATAATATTAATGACAGTTACGGAAATTTCCAGAAAGTATTTTTGACAGAATGAACAGAATAATCCTTATTTTGACCACTCCTTACAATTTCCTGCATATTTTCGTGAGTTCTATAAAGTGTACCATCCAAAGTGATGTTTAAGTTATTTAGATCGCTCTGTAAGACCATGCAGATATGGCAAGGCATTTTACATTGGGCTGATTTATATGTTGCAGTTACATCATCAGCCTCTAGCATATTCGCAAGAAAAAGAAAATTCATGCTGCAAAGATCATTGGTCGAGATTTAATTCCAAAGTACAATGCATCAGGTTTTTCTAACAAAGGTCAAAGCATAATATCAAAACATTTGTAATATACTTGATGTTGGAATCTTCGAAAATTTTCACTAGTTTTGATTCCAGAATCCTGTACCTTGGGTAGAAATCCTAAAAGAACTTTAGATTCTGGTAAGTTTCAAACCCAATTTGGAAGATTTCTGAGTGTCAAAAATACCAGATGACCTGAAGCCTTTCCGAGTTCATCAAGAGTTGTCGCATCCGAATATAAAATGATGGACAGTAAATGGTTCAGAGGTGGAAGAATCTTTTCTGTCTCTAACCACCAGTCACCTTCATACAATTCTCCAAATATCCTTTTATTATGTACATCTTTTTTTAGTATTCCTTTAGTAACGAAATTTTCAGCTATTTCATATCGTTATATAAGGACTTGAATTGCTTGAAAAATTGGTCGATAATAGGATAAAATCAACTTTATTATACGTTGCAACAACTTTTTCTTTGAAATTTAACGAAGGTGATATTATTTGATTAAGAAAGTCCTTACCACTTTTTGTTGAAATTGGTAATGGAGATTCGTTCAAAGCACTATGATTATTGAAGAACTTTATAATTATATCCCCTATCTTGTTAGATACGTTACCATTTATCACTAATTCCATGAAGTCGTGGTACACATCATTTAGATATTTTACAATATATTCCGGTTTGTTTTTACCTTTGATAGTATCTAAAGCATCATCTATTGATGCTCCCTCAATATCTTCAAGATCGAAATTAATATCTTTGATATTTAACGATGATCGCAACTCATCGTTCTCTTCATTATTCTCTTCGTCATTCCCTTCATTATTCTCTTCGTTATTTCCTTTGTCATTTTCTTTGTCATTCCCTTTATCATTTTCTTCGTCATTCTTTTCATTTCTTCAACTTCGCAAATTATATCTTAGCTTATTAGTTAATTTACTTGTAGTTTTTTTGAAAACTACATCTTCTATTTCATCATTATCAACTTGTATTACAGTAATTGATGCAGGATTTTCTACCATAGAAGTTGGCTCTTGTTCTAACACTTCCATTGTGATCGGTGCATTCCATAAATTAGCATCATGTTCTAGTCTTAATATTATTGGCGATTGTTGATGAGTTCTTAGGCTAGCCATTTCGTTTATCCAAGAAGTTGCTATTCTTCCACGATGTTTGGCATTACGATGTTGTGATAATTCATGTTTACTGGAAAAATTTCTATTACAGATTTTACAATGATATTAGTAATTATTATATATTTATTCACATTATTACTAGAAAATGAAGTGAAAGATGTATTTTGTGTGAACTCCAATTGATAATTAGAGCTCAAAATCAACATGATATATTCGGTAGGGAACGTAAGTTTTGTAAATATTTATATTTCTGTAAAATAATTAATTTTATTAACTCGTAATTATAATTTAAATAGAAATCAATGGGTCATGATTTACTATTTTCTTTGTTAATCGGTTGATTTTGATTTTAATCAAGTCTTCGTTGATTGGTTGATTTTGATTTTAATCAAGTCTTCATTGATTGGTTGATATTGATTTTAATCAAATTTCAGTATATCATTTAACTTTGGCGTTTGTAATGATAATTTATTTCATTTATCATCAATTTTAATTTAGTCTAACAATTACATTTTTAACAATTACATTATCTTTTGTATTTTTAACATTTACCATACATTAATTAAATTTAATTTTGATAGATATAAGCTACTGTTAACAATATCATTAATCGTCTTTCAGTAATAATCAATCCAGAAACTTCCATATATTTTTCAAATATTTAAATCATGAGCTTTTTTATTTCCTTTCTTTATTCGACACCAAATTTCTTATATCTTCAAATGTTATCATCAAAAAAAAGAAAAGGCAAATTAACTAAGTAACCTCGTGATAATGATTCTCAAAGCGAAACCTCTTTTAGTACTATAAAATTACAGGAAAAGGCTTCTCGATCCACTGAAAATGTTTTTTCTCTAATATTATCACGTAGTAAGTAATTTCCTAATACCTATATAAAATCAATATTGTAAATAACCTTTAATTCTTTATTTCTAAAAAAAAAGAGTCAGTTCCTCCAATCGATACTTCTACCTCAAAAACTCAAACAGCCTCTCGAGTATCTTCTCGAATGCCTTCTCCAGTGCCTCGCAGAAAATCAGTTGATTCTACTCCCGATACCGATCAAATGTTCATTCATGATGACGAAACTGAGTATCATTGTGTGCAAGATGATGATAATCATGGTTCTTCACCAATCGACACGGAATTTTCTTCATCACAATCATCCCAAAAACTAATAAAATCACAAGAAGATAATAATCCTTTCTTAGTCATAAAAGATTCTGATAATCATTACCTAACTGTTAAAGAATTTAATTTCACGATGTCATTGTTGGATAATAAAATTAATGCTTTATATAAACTATGTAGATTTATTGCTCAAAGACAAGAAGAAAACTCAATTGCATTAAGAAAGCTTGTTGCTGACGATGAACTATCAGATAATTTTTGGAAAGTAAGTTCTAATATATTTATAAGTCTATTTGGATTTTTAAATAATTAAAGTGAATTTTTCTAGCATGCTTACAAAGAAGTTGCAAAGCAACTTATACCGACTATATTATTTCCGTCAGATACTGAATGTCGAATAGCGATAGAAACATATCTATCAAAAAATGCAGAACATTATATAGATGATATTGGCAAAATTAATTGGTTATCGAAATTTGATGAAAAAATATTGCCAGAGGTAATTAAAATCTTAAAAGCTTTTAATAAACAAAATAGTTTTAAATATATAGTATATATATTTTTATTATTAGATTAAGGCCAAATGTAGAAGTAGAAGAAATGACATCATGCAAGCATTCGAAATGCGATATTTGTTGTATTTGGTGAAAGTAAATTAAAACGTGTCGACAACTCAACACCTTCTCTAAAGTTAGCCAAATGGAAGACAAGTGAAAAGACTCGTATAGCTTATGAAGAAATTCTCACGAATCATGAACTTCTTTCAAAAATAGGTTACATCATCTTTAAACAAAACAAGAGAGAGTCATTGTCTATGACGCAATACGCATATATTTTATCGATTTGTGACATACTTTTAAATCCGAAAAGTTTGGGGATAAAATGTAATGACAAGTCAGTTATTAGGCATATAAATGCATTTTTGGTAAATATTATTTGTAGTGCTATTCATAATAAGTTCAAAATCATTCTTTGAAAATTTTACAAATATTAATTACATTAATTACATTAATTAATAGCGAGCTTTCAAGAAAGATAATCCTAATACTCTTAGCACACAAGAAATGATGAGAGAAATTGCAGAGACAGAATTAAGAGAGTCTCAAGAAACAAAATGTAAAAAACATGGCAGTCAGGTATATATAAGCGAAAGTGATGCTACGATGGAAGGGTAACTGATGAAGAATATCATAAAGATCATGATGATGACGGGTACGAAAATATGGTAAGTTAAAAACAATTGTTAATAATTATCGAATATTTACTAAATGAAACATTTTGTTATTTTACAATGAAATTCAAATACTTGAACTTGATTCTTAATTTGGCAAAGGAGCTTCTGAGAAATAATTTTTTTTTCGATTTTTTTGTTATATATCAAATTTTAGTTTTTTTTTCATACCGGTTTTTAACGTACTATTTATTCATTTTTCTTTTTCAACCTTTTTTTTTCTTTACCATTTATCGAATTTTTCTTTGTTGTTTATCAAACTTTATAATTATATTAGTATAATTGTTTAATGTATAGCGTTTTCTTTAATATATAAAGGATAAAATTACATAGTTGCGTTTAATTGATCATGTAATATTATTATACTACTGGTAAAATAATTATTTTGATAGACATAAAAAATAAATAAAAATCTGCGCAGATTTTTGAACTCTCAGAGATGTGCACAGATTTTTGTAATTTTTTCTGCACTGCACGCCGACAGGATTGCAGAATTGTGCAGATCTCTATGCTGCAAAACTGCACAGGTCTGATCCTTAAAAAATTTGCCGATGTTAGGTAGGGTATCTGTCTGGCTTCTCGAAACTATCTCATTCTAGAATAATAATTCTTGCAAAGCCTCCAATATATGTTCCCTGACAAAACTTTTATCGAGTTCCATAACTTTGTCTTCAAGACCACGCTCATAGACTAGGAGTCTTAAATCATCACTGAGCTAACCTGGTAGCTTTTGCGATGAATTGTTCATAGGCGGAGGTGGAGAATTAGAAAGATCTGCTATTTCATTATCTTTTTTTGAGATTATCTCACAAAGACGAGAATTTTCCTGCATTGAATTTAATCGTGCCTTTCTCAAAGCATCTATTTCCTGTTTGTATATACTATCTGATGACTCTTTCCCCTTTTCCATATATTCTATTGTATATTCTTTCGAATTAAGGTCCTCCTTCACTCGTTTTAATTCAAGCCTGAGAGAATCGATCTCTTTAGAATTAGATGAGCTTAATTCTAATTCACGTACTTTAGCTTCAAGAAAAAGACTTGTATCCTTGTCAATAGATGAAGCTTTCTGAGTCAAAGTCGCCTTTCTCTTCAGTGTTTTAATCTCTGATTTGAGCGATTGGATTTTGGCAGTATATTTAGCTTTAAGTTCACGTTGACTCTCAGAATGAGACTTTCATTCAGAAATAAGTTGGGATCTAATCTTAATACTAGACACAATTAACTGGCTAGCTTTATTTTCAAAATCAGTATAGGTTCGCTGAAACTCCTTTTCTCGCTCATTGTACTTATCTACCAGCTCTGAGATCATTAATCTCAGAGTTAAATTTGGTAACGGATCTTAATTTTTTTTTGAGCTCTTGCTCATATACATTACCCAGCCAATGACTGGGTTTTTTATAAGAACCACCCTCTCTATCTTTTATATTATTCAATGTATGCATATTGGACATAATATTAGCATAATTATATATTAGAAAAAAAAATGCATGAATAAATTTCTGAGATAATAGACCTAATCTGTTTATTCAGAATAATACATTTTTTTTAAATATCCTATTTATCCCATATATCCTATACGTTCAGAATATTATCTTCCTATATATCCTGTATATCCCATATTTTTGGAATAATACATACTTTTTATATATCCTATTTAATAAATTATTTCAGAGTATTATATTAGATATAAAAAAATATTGCTACTATGCTCAGACAACGCATGAGATGTGACGCCTCTCCTTTTTCACCAGTCGATTATGATCATATTATGCAATGTGCTGAAAAAAAGCCTAGAGATAAAGTTTTAAAGGATTTAACAGATAAATATTGCACATCACAAAAACGTATTTATCAGATCTGGAGAGGTGAAGAAAAAAATAGGTTGTGTAGAATCAACCAATTCATATACCAACAGCTTTACTTTCTAATATAAATGTTATGGGTGAGCGGACCAAGCCAGAGATTCAAGATCAAGATATTTTTCCATTTGCAGAACTGAAAAAACAAATACGTGATGGTAAGATAGAGCCTAGCAAATCTATTGATTCAGTTTTATAAGAAGGTGGAAAGGCAAAAAAGACTGAAGGGAAGAAATCGAAGTCCAAATCCGCCTTAGCAGAAATAACACCATCTTCCGTTCAGACTCAACCAATCCCCACATTGCATGAGAAGGTGGTAGAAAGAAGCATAAAAACTGTAATGAATATTAAGAATATAGTAGAAAAATAACTTGTTTATTCTCTAAGAAATTCACAATAGCGTGTCTGTAATCTTTCACAATATTCATTGATTTTTGCATTATACTTAAAAGTGCTATATAGCATTTTTTCGAGCTCCTCATAACTCACTTTTTTTTTAAATGTATCATCCTCGCTTGCCGTTAAGGTACTTCGCAAGTCTTGCGAGTCCTGCGAAATGCAGTCTGGAGCTAACAGATCATCAGATTCAGGAGTAATGTTCGCGCAGTTTATCTCGAGCTTATTCTTGACCTTATGCATATTAATTGGAATAAAAAATTCCTTACCATTATACTCTAGTCTCAATTCTCACTTTAAAGCAAGTAAATCATAGTTATATTTATCAAGCAATGTATTAGGTAAAATGAGCATCGGCTTAGGATACTTAACTACTGCAAAATCGGCATATATAGTACATCTGGAAGCGAAATTTACTGGGACATTTCTAACAATTCCAAGTGACTCTGTAGGAGTAGTAGCAATGCCTCTGAGATCATATTTTTCCTTTGTATCAATTTCTAACTTTGATCGTTTGGCTATATCCTCAAACATAATTGCGAAATTGGCACCAGGATTAACTGTACCCGCTGAAATTACAAGACGTTTAATTTTACACTTAACAGTAACAACATCTGTGGTGGGTTCTTTTCTTTGAACGAAATCTATTTCCATAGGATCATCAATATACTCATCATCCTCAGAATCAACTGATATTCTTGAATCAGCATTCTGGGATTGAAGAAGAGTAGTGATAGTGCCAAAATTTTTATTAAGCACCTTCTCAATAATTTTCTCAATAATTTTTTCTAGGCGGGATTGTTCATCCTATAATGGGGACTCTGAACTTTGCTTTTCCTTTTTAGAGATAGGAATCGATGCTGAAGGAGGGTTTTCTATATCTTTTACTTTATGAGACTTGCGAGTCTTTGATTTTTTCTTCCGTAAGGAGCTAATAGGATTATGCTCTTTCTTTACTTTTTTTTGCCCAAGATATATTAACATTAATTTCAGCATCAGCCTCAGCTTCAGACTCTGATTTAGAAGAAGAACTCTCAGAGCTAGAAGAGCTATCCTCAAACTCTGATGAAGAAGTATTACTATCAGAAGGATCCAAATCTGACTGATCATCTACTTTAGCTATATGGACTTTGCTACTCTTAGATTTTTTCTTCTTGGGTTTATTTTTCGATTTCTTTTTCTTTGTTTTAGAAGTTTTACAGGTAGGTTTACGGCCACTTTTATGTAACTTTTTGACCGCATTAATTTGCTTGGAAAGCTTGGCATAGTTAGCGTTAATAACGCCTAATCTTCTTATTAATTCATCATTAATATAATTATCTAAGAATGTAAGATCTCTTGGTGCATCAGGTGGCATTCCCAAACGCACTGCACATATATACATCTTTTCTAAGGCCTCATTATATAAAGGGTTCTGAATACTCTGAGAACATAATTGATTTGATTGGGCTATTTATTCTTGTAGCAATGCTTGGATTCAAGCATTAATAATTTTTTCAACATCTGCAGTAATAATACCCTGATTTATCAAAGCCTTTTGAGCTATTGGTTGGTTATAGATATTCTCACCCAAAAGCATTTCACTCTTTTCTTTTTCAATTTCTTCCAAATTTTCGATCAAGTCATTATTTAATGCTTTATTTAGTCCCAAGCGTTTGACTTCTAACTTATTTTCAGGATTTAATCCACGAAGAAATTGCATTCTTTTTTCGCAATTACCAATTTCTATAGTATTCTCTAATCAGAAAATTATTTTGTACCAGATTGCCAAAAATTAATTCCTGTTGCTTTCGAACTTCTGTGGTGTAAGTAGTTCTCCATAAATACAATTCTTGGCTAATATTAATATCAGGAAGAACAATTTGATTGTTATTATTTGTAGCTCCGTTTGAAATATTATTTGCTGTAACGGGATCTACAGCGCATCCCAGCATAAAACTAATCTTCATCTGTATGTATATCATGCACTGAGATAACAAGAACTCCAGTAGCTCCAGCTGGTAATACTGGTACAACTATTCCATCAGGAGCATTTATTTGATGAGCTGTTATTTGACCGTTATTTAGGGCACAAACGGCGGCCATGTTAGCTAAATTATTGCTAATGGCGACATGATTTAGCCGAAACTTTTTTCCAGTAATTTTAGTTTTATGTCACTGGGAAGTATCGCCTGTTAAGGTTGATTGCTATAATGCTAAAGTCCTCTATTTACCTGCATATTATTCGTAGCAATTCCGGCAGCCGTTAAATAGAGACGATAATTTTTAATATGCTCATCTAAGTCCTCATCACCTCTACCTGAATACCTTGGTGGTGGATATCCTGCCATACCTATATGTTGTGTATTAGATGGGTTATTCTGAAGCGCCAAAATTTGTCCTTGCAAATTTAAAATATTCTGGTCTCTTTGCCTAATCACTAGCTGGAAAACAAACTTCTCACATAGTAATTTACCAATGCAGGTTTATTTTCTTGCTATAATAACTAACATCCTATTTACCTAGTTTTAGGCATTAGTCTGCAACTGTCAGATATTTTGATGAAGATGGTTAACATTCCGCTAATATAATATCTGTTTAGCAAACTTTTCTCGCAATAATTCTTGAATATGCCTATCTTTATCCTAATATGAGAAATACCAATGGCGGGATTCTTTTTTCTCATTATTATAAGCCAAAATAGCCATATCCCGCTCTCTTTGAGCATTATCTCTCCCTTATAGCTACATTCCTTTCTCTTATAGTTCTTTCAACCTGAATGTGAGATTCATCTAATAAACGTTGTAATCGTAAATTCTGATTTCCACTATCATTTAACTGGTTCCTAAGATTATCTACTCGCTGAATTGAATCATGTAATAAGTTTTGATATTGATCACGCTTAGTTGTAATATTTTGCAAAGTAACCTGAATAGTATTTAACGAATCTCTAATACCATCTATAATATTAGCGGGATTCTGCATAGGCGTATCAACACCTCTAATATGATTTTCTATCCGCTCTAGTCCTCTATTAATATTTGCGATAAGATTAGTTGTTACCATATCTAAATTATCTATTGGGATTTTTTTATCTATGAGAATCCGGATTCTTGCCTTGAGACGTTCTACCTTATTCTCAAGCTCTATGATTCAGCCATCTTGAATAGACCCAACTTCATCTTTGAATTTTTTATCTTGTTGTAAGATCCTAAGCTATTTTCGCAAATCAGATATTTCCGATTTAAATTTCTCTATCACTTTCTTATGGACTATGATAGTATTATCCTGTAATGAAATAGTTCAATAACATTGTTCAAGCTCCTTTACAAGGGATCGAATTTTTTTCTCATAATTCTTATTAATATAAATCTCATCTCAAAGCTCATTACGAAGCTCCTGATTCATATCTAAAAGCTGTGAATATGCTGGATCAAACATGATATTTTATTCTAATTTATAGTACTATCATAATAATTCTGCCTTAAGAATAAGTCAACCGCAAATTGTAATAGATCCTGATGAGGCTCAGAGAATTGAAAAAAATATTATATTGCATGATATATATTATCGCCTGACTGAATATTATTTTAATTCCAAATCCTTAAGAGACGCATGTAAAAAAGAAGGGCATCGATTCCACCTAAGTGAATGCAAAACTTTTTTAGAAAATCAGGAGTCATACCAAATCAATAAAACCTCTTTAAAATATATTCCTAGAGCCAGCTACGGGCGAATAACACGTCCTAATTGTGTACACCAGTGCGATATACTGTTTCTCACTCATAATCACTATAGAGGTAAAAAATATAAAGCAGTACTTAATATTATAGATTGCGTCTCCAGATACAAGGTTTCAGTTCTGCTTACATCTAAGAATAGTTCAGAAGTTGCTAGAGCATTCAGAAAAATTTATGATGATCCTAATAATCCTCTTACCTATCCTAAATTACTTTAAACAGATAATGGGCGAGAATGGATGGGTGAGACTTCTCGACTAATGCAAGAACATAATGTTACAATTTGAGTAATCAGTCCATATTCCCATCGAGGTCTTGCATTTGTGAAGCATTTCAATCAAACACTCTCGAAGATTCTATACAAGATCCAGTATACTATTGAATCAATATCTTCTGATCCTAAACTAATAAGAACATGGGTTAGTTCTCTACTGGTAATTATTAATTATTTAAATAACTATCCTACGCGTCTTATTCGAGAACCAGAATCAGAAAAATGGGAACTTGAACCTGTGAAAGCAATTGCTTTAAAGCAAGTCAAATCTAGACTATCTACAAAATATAAGCGCCCAGTTGGACAAGATGAAATAAGGTTAAAGAAAGGAGATACTGTCCGCTACCTACTTGCCAATGCAGAATGGGAAGGGGTATGGAAAATCAGAAGCGTGCAACTGACCCTACATTCAGCCCAAGTCTTCATAAAATTCAAAAAGTTGTTATAAAGAATGAGCTGGTTTTATATTATCTCGGGAGTGATGATGATGAATTTGCTCTAAAGCGAGGATTTGTAAAAGAGAAGCTCATGTTAATAGCTGATCCAGAAAGGGTTGGTCGTCCATCTCAAAGCATATTATCTATACATATTGCATATGCTTTCCCTATCAATAATGAGCTAGATCAAGCTATTGATTATGCTAGAAGATGTAGTGGTCAATGTCTAGGAAGGACTGGACAAATAAATGATCATAACATATATCTTTGGACTTGTGAGAATGGTGCATATCAGTGGGAGTATCCACTAAAATATATCATGAAAAAATTCGAATGGTATCCACTATGTTACCATAGAAGTGGTGAACATCAATGCTGATATATTTTTGAGGATCTGCTAGGTAAGAAATTTCCGCCATGTAAGGCTAAGTTCTTAGATGGATAAATATAATAAGGAATTGCATCTTGCATTCGAATTCCAGGATCCTCAGCACTATCACTACAATAGCTTCTACCACCGGGAGAATGAAAATTTAAAATCACAAAATATGCACGATCAGAAGAAGCGGGATATATGCAAGGACTAAGATATATGCCTTATCAAAGTGTCATACACATGTGACCTTTTTCCCTATATTAAGTACACACTTATCGAGAAAGAATTCTTGAGAAATTCTTCAAGTTAGATTGGAGAAAATTATCTTCTTGGCATTTTTCTGAGACTGCGCGGTCCCGCAAATTTGCAAGATTATTTTAGAATATCATTGGTAATAGTTCAACATGAAAATAAAAAAGCTTAAACCAGTTGATAGACTTGTATACCATATTAATGAGATTAAGGATGCCAAAAAATATAATAAACATTCGAGTGTTCCCCAATGGACTTTCACTTTACTAATCTCTGGCCGTACTAATTCAGGGAAGACTAATGAGGTTCTCAATCTCATGCTTGAAAATAAGTTTTATTAAATGTTTAATGGGAAGGAAGAAGGGACGTGTTATATCAAAAATGATGATTTGCTATTAATTGGCCACAATCTTAAGGAGTCGAAATATATGTACCTCAAATTGGCGTATCAGATAATTGCAAATAGTTCAAAGTCCTATCGTGAAAATATTACATTCTGAGCTTTGAAGCCTGATAAAATCCCTAAGGTGGATTCGTTTTCTCCAGATAGAGATACAGTAGCCATATTCGAAGATGTATACGCTGATCTGAAAAAAGTGCAAGAGAAAATCATCCCTTATTTTATTGAGGGCGCCACTACAATATCAGCTTGATATATGTATTCCAGAGTTACTTTGACTGTCCAAAGATAATACGAAAAAATCTTACACATGTCTGCCTATTTAACGGGTCATGCATTACAGATGAGCTAGTCAGAATTATGCGTTAATATGCTAATGACTGGCGTAATGTGATTAAGATTATTGACAAGTATTTATGTGAACAAAAATTTATTGTTTTTGATCTAACTGTACCTCGCGAACATCCACACAGGATACGTATCGGCTGGAATGTACCTCTCACTAATGAGTAGAATTTTCTTAGGTACTAAGGACGAAATATATATTTTTCCTGGTTTCTAGATCATATTCAGATTCACTACGCCTCTTCGCCATAATTTCCTTTTATGAGTGCTAGAATATATTTCTGGTTCTATAGTCACATCACTATGCTTCGTATTGGAAAGAATCTGATCAACAAGAGTGACAATTTTTCTATCCTTAACAGAAATAATATCTTCCAGATGCCAGCATTTATTCTCTAACATATCAATAGACTTTTCAGCTGATGTAATAGCTTTTTTCGTATCAGGAATTATACTTTTGAAAAAAGCTACTGAATCTGATAATTGACTGATTTTCTCACCACTCTCTTCTAAAGACCTGATCATAGTTATCTCACAAGACTTATACTGCTCTTGCAATTCAAGAAACTCTTTAATCTTTTTTTCCAATACCTGCTTTGATATACACAATTTCTCATTTTCTTGCCTTAACGAAGTTTCACAGTCGCTAGTAATAGGCTTCATCTTCTGATGCTCCTTTTTCTTAATATAATTTTCAACTACCTTATTTAACAAATCTTCCACTTTGGGATGAATACTACTTGTCTGTTCCAGCGATAATGAATATTTTTGAGATGTAAGGCGTCGCTATATATCTATTTTGATAGAGCGAGAAAGCTGATTAAGTTACTTCGAGTAATATACGTGAAAAGATGGTATAAGTATATTATTAGTCATTTTGTATAGATAATAAAAAATTCTGAGAATCTAAGAATTCTGAGCATTCAGTGAATTTAGAACATTCTATCACCTATAGTTAACGTAGGATATAATCATACGCGTCAATTTCGTGAGAGATCTGCTAGAAAACTGTGATATAATCAAAATGCACATGACACCCATCCATTGGTCAGCAAGAAAAAAATCATTTTGGTAAGGGTGCTCCGGCGCTGAAGAAATTTTGCCAAATTAATGTTTGCTTAAGCAAACCTTTCGTGATATAGATAATATATTTTATTAATAAGTTTTGCAATTGCATGTCTTTCAATTTCACAACTCTGGCCTTAAGCTCAGCATTTTCGGCCTTAATTTTATTGTTCTCGACCTCAAGCTCAATAATATATTGTTTTAACGAATCAGTCTC